TTAGCGATAGAAACATTTAAAACTGCATGTATGATATCTTGAAAAAACAGTTTTGAAGACATGGGTATGTTTCTTTGTGAAGCCCTGAAAAAATCCCTTTATATCATTTAAAAGAACTGAAAATGCAAGTGTGTTAGTCACAAAATATTTTATAAGCCCCTTCAAATTTGCATTTTGTTATATATTTCAGAACCAAAGTTATAAAAGAAAATTGTTTTCCTCTTTGTTAATTGAGAATCATCTGCAGTTATGATTTCAGATCTGTAGATAACTTCTTGTTGCTGATATTGCTACATGGGAGGAGAATAGAACAGCTTGGAAAATGTGCAAGAAGAGAGAGCTAACTCATACACCGAAGAACAAATTGATGAAGTGAAGATCAAATTAGTAGAATTTGTGAGCTCTCCATTATTTATAATTATAAGTAGGAAGTATGTATGTAATAGAGCAAAGATTGGTTGACTATGTAATAACAATTGAATTTTCAAGTTTTATGAAAGAAATAATTTTTGAGCATATATATTCGTTAATGAAGCATTATAATTGGTTTTCTAGTTAAAATCGTTGTATATAATCATAGGAAACAAAAACCTAAATGTAACAACTTGGGAATGTATTAGACGACAGATTTAAAGATAATAAAATGTAGTCTAAATTGTTAGAGTTCGGTGGCGATTTATTTTGCATGTCTAAATTGTAGTCTGTAATGGTTGTGTATATTGTATGTAGATTGACTTAATATTGTTGTCCTATTGGATGTGTATTGTACTAATATTGCCTTTGTATTGCATACATATTGTATGCATATTGTAACCCTATTGCATGTATATTGTGATGTTATTTCTGTCGTATTGCGGTTATATTGCCCTAATATTGCCTCTCTAGTGTATGCATATTGGCCTAATATTGCTATTATATAATGACCAGAAAGAAACAACGTGCCTTTCAAAAATAGGCAGTCATGTGCATTATAATTGCACCTTAAGACATTGTAAGAAAGGAAGGTGGTTTGGGTGGTGGTTATAAAAAAAGAAAGGTATTAATAAATATGCAAATGCTTCGTGATAGTTGAAGAAAAGGATGATTACATTTAGTGGTTTGATTATGTTTGGTGATACGATATGTTGTTCGTCTTAATCTTCATATATGTAATTGTTGTATTAATACTTGATACAAATTCATCTCGTAATCATCCAATTATTAAAGCTAAGTAAATGAAATGAAACAAAAGAAGAAGCCCAAAATAAACAGAAACAGCAAGAGAACAAGTTACAAATCCTGTCTCATAACAATGCACTTGGAAAAAGTTTAATTTCTTATTTTTCTTATTTTTCACAAGCCCATATACACATGCAAAACTCCCAACTTCATATATAATACATATAAGCATCTCACATCCCCATTATTACATGTTACAACACTTTAAGTTTACACAACCAGCAGATTACAAATAACTCACAAACTGTCTGATTGCCTGCCTGCCTGCACAATCTCTATCATCTTTCTTATGGGATGGGATGCACAACCACCTTCCCTGTAGCCCTGGAAGTTTCAAGGTAGGCAAATGCTTCAACAGTCTTGGAAAAGGGATATGGGCCTGTGGGATCAAGCACCGGCTTCACCTTCCCACTCTCCAAGTATGGCTTCAGCTTCCCAATACAGTCCCAGTTGAAGTCAGTACAAAATGGACGGCCGGTGCTGCTGCTGCACGACCTGATACTATTGTCACTACTTTCCCACCTTCTTTCACTGCCTTCACTGCCCTATCAGACTCCCCTGTTTTTTTTCGTTTTTTGTTTTTTTGGCGAAAAACATCATAAAATAATATGAGTCTTTGATTCATTCCTGGTAAATAAATAAACCAATAAACTCCCCTGTTGGTGGGTGCATGCCTTATACGGATGACATCATGTATCGAATTGTTAAAGAAACCAGAATGAAGAATCTTACCAACGGTGTCATATACCACATCAAATTTCTCAGGCAATTCTTCAAACTTCTCCTTGGTATAGTCGACAGCCAAATCAGCACCCAAGCTTCTCAACAGCTCCAGTTTTCTAGTGCTTGCAGTTGCTGCTACTTTGGAAGCACCAAAAACATGCTTTGCTAGCTGCCCAAATTAGTGGAAATGGTTTCACTTTAATTCCATATACAGTTTGTGGTATATATAGCCTCAAGACATTTTGGAATTAGAAATAAAATTACTTTACCTGAATAACATGTGTGCCCACCCCCCCAGCTCCTCCTAAAACAAGAATGGATTTACCAGCAGAAAATTCAGTTCGTTCAAGCCCTTCATAGGCAGTCTCAATAGCCAGGGGAAGGCTAGCAGCTTCAACAAAACTCAGATTTTTGGGTTTCAGAGCCAAAACTCTTTCTTCTGCAGCAGTGTACTCTGCCAAAGACCCAAACTTTTTTGGCTGCGCAGCTTTCTCATTGAGATCCCCATATACTTCATCCCCACCTTAAACTTTGTTACTTGACTTCCCACTTTCACCACCACACCAGGAACATCATACCCTGGAACAGTCTGCAAAACAAATTAATTCAAAAAACAAGAATTCTTTCTACATTCTTTGTCACTTGCCAGCCCAGCTGTTTACTAGTAACAGTGAACATGCTAAATGGTAACATGCAATAGAAACATAACAAGGTGACAAAACTTCCTCCATTAAAACCCAATTCTGAATAAAATGAAAGAGAAAGAGACTCTCACAGGTAGAGGAGAGTCAGTGGCCTTAAAATACCCAAACATCCTCTTGTAATCAACTGGGTTAAGAGCTGCAGCAACCACCTTGATGAAAGCTCCTCCTTGCTAAATCCCTTGCAATTATTGCAAGAGCTAAATGAAAGCTCCTCCTTTTTGCAAACCTTGGCCTTCACACTGCTGGCCATTTTCCTTGTCCTCCTATTCACACGGTACTCTTCGACTAAAACCACCACCCAAAATCATAGATATGAAACCAATTTCAAAACCATATCAGATGACCCAAAATAAAAACCCATCACCCAATCCTT